GGACTTGCTTCTCTGTCCTTATCAAGCCAACTGAAGAGTAATGGAAGCCATGGGAGTTACAAACAATCCAAACATCAGATCAGCATTTGACCATTTTTCAAATAATTATTCTTCATTTCTCCCGTTACCAAAAAAGCCAAATCATTCCAATTCCATAGGGTACCACTCAGAGTGTAATTGAGGTTTGAATAAACAGCACATGTGGCTTTTAAGGTTAAATGAATATTGTTTGACATACAGTATGCTGAAGTTGTTTTTAAATTTGTTTTTAAAAATTGGTTAAAATTACATCTTGTTGCTTCTTGGAATTAACTAGAACTCATCTGTCTCCATTAGAATCATTATTAGTTTTACAAAATGCCTTGGCTGGAATGAAGATGTTCAATCTCAAGATAAATATAACAGTGAATTAAAAATAAAAGATAAGGAGCAAGTTTTCATGTTATTGGTACCTATTTTTTCTAAAAGTATCTAAGGTTGTAAATAAATAAATGGGAACTCTTTTCAGCTACCCAGACAAAAACTACAGAGGTCTAAAAGCCACTTATAACCAAACAAAATATTGGTATCTAAAATGTCTTCAGGTTGACTATCATTTAAATAGAATAACTAAAAATGTTGAAATCCTTAGAGGCTACTTAATGGAACATTCGAGCTTAAATAATCCACATTGGTGACTTTAATATTGTACAGGAAACAATACTAGCAGTTCCTGGTGTTTACATATATTTATGTAAGATATATAGATTGTGAATAAACTCACTCAGAAGTAATGGAATGGCTCTAGTAGCTTTTAATGAACTGAGGTGGTTCAAATTTAGTCACACATTTATATCCACAAGTTATTTGGTCATGGCACATTCGTCTGAACTTGTGGATTAATACTCTGTTTCTATGCTTGATAGTGACCTGCTTCATTGCATTTGCAATAGGCAGTATATGATTTTGTAATGCTTTGACATTATGACTGCACTTTAATTAAAACCCCTTTAAACATCCACAGCCTAAATACAATAAACTGAACTTCTCCAAAGGCCATATAAAGGCCACATAAACCTTTCTTGTCAATTGTAATCATGAGCGTCCCTGGTGGTCTAGTGGTTAGGCTTCATCGCTCTCTCAATTGTAATCATGAAATTAACACTTTCAAGTGACATTTGTTAAAAAGAGCTGTTTGCCATTTGTCCCTTGTAATTTGTTTCCCACTTGGCTACTTAATTTAATCCTGAAAACACATCCTACAGATTTTAAATTTTGCTTTGTCATTTGCTGGTGAACCTTTTCTAGTGTCTCATCTTTTTTTAGTTCATTTTCATTAGGCTCAGACTCATCACTAAAGCAGGACTGTGTTGGTCACTCCATCACTATTAGTAGCATTCCCTAGCTCTCCAAAGAGTCATTTTATACAATTTTCTGCTTTACCTTTCTCCTTTCGTGATCAAATCTTCCCTGTGTATCTTACCCCTTTGCTGTATTATTGAGCAGCTTCTCATGTGGCCTGTCATTTTCTGTAGCATCTTTCTGTTTGACCTCCAAGATCACAGTTGCTTCCTAAAAGTCTGCACTACATTGTAAGAAGAAATTTTGCCAAATATCATTTTGTCCTAGATACCCTTACCTCCAATAGCAGGATCAAATATTAATTCGTCGGTGTTTTTGAACTCCATGCAACAATTATTTACTATCCCCATGTAGTTCAACAACTTGCCCCACTCCTTATCCCTCTCACTCCCTTTCTCCCTCCTGCTTTTTTCTTCTGTAATCACCAGTTCCCTAACTCCTGTTTCCACATCTAAAGTTCCTATTCAAGCCACACCTGCTTGTTCTCTCCCATCTATGGCTTGCTGTTTCCAAAGCTCTGATCTTTTGCAAATGCCATTCCTTTCAGTTGAGATATTCTGCCCACATCTCTCTCTCTCTCTCTCTCTCTGTGTGTGTTTATGCCCTCCAAGATCTACTTCTAAAAATGTAATTTCATGATTGTTTTAGTAATCTTTCTAAATCACATCTGACTAATCCCTCCTGCTTTTTTAAATATCTCCTAATCAGGAGTCTCTTTCATTCTCCAACCCTCTCTTCACCCCTCTCTTTCTTCACCCCTTCATTCTTCACCCCTCTCTTTCATTCTCCAACCAGGGTGTAAATGCTCTGAAATGTAAGGTTCCAGCATGATTTCTTTTTCCTCTTGTTCTAGCATCTGGCTCTCTACCCAAGAAACATTCAATACATGTTAACTGGCTCTTGGCCATTATTTTGTAGTGATAAGAAAGCACCTTGACTCTTCAAGTGATCAGTAAGTCAGGATTTTATGTGAATCTGTGTGCAGTTTTTGTCAACTTTCTTTACTAAGTCACAGGCTAATCAAGAAGACAATATTATACTATTGACCATGCACTTAATTCTCTGTTTTGACTGCACTGAAATTCAATGTGTGTTTTGAGCTCTTGATGAGTTTCTAGCAATGTGTTGTATGCTCCAACCCAGTTCTTTTCAAACTCCTACACCTACCAGAATCCCCTATAGAGGCTTATTAAAACCTGGATCCACTACCTCCAGGCCATAGTTTCTGACTTACTAAGTTTGAGGTAGGATTTAAATGTGTATTTTTCTCAAGTGTTTTTAACATACTCTTGCTGCATATTCAGGAACCTTGCTTTGAGAAACAATGCTGTTAGGGGATACACAGACAAAGACATACTCTGTCTCAAGGAGGTTACAGTTTTTCCAGGGAAACAAGGAATGCTCCAGGATCATTAAGAGCACACAATATTGTATTTAGGTTGCACTCCTTCAGCAAATATTGAATGAATATCAAATGCTCAGCACTACTGTAGCTGAGGTTACATAAGAGAACGTGATAAATAAGAATTGTTGTCCTTGTGGAAGAATTCTGATAGGGGAAAACTAATAGACTTAATAAATGAAGTGCAAGTTACAAGATGTAAGGCAGTGATAAGTGCTAAGGAAAGGGCATGATAGGCAACTTTTAGTCAGGATGGCAAGGGGAAGACTCAGTTTCATTACTTTATAAGTACTTATGGAGTAACTACTATGTGGCAGGCACTGTAACACATAATAGTGTTAAGGCCTTGACTAATAAAAATAATAAATTCCATCACAGAGTATATATAAGCAAGTACTTCAGAAAGTTCATGGAAAATAGAACTAAAAAGCAAGCTTATTTTGGTACAAAACCTTTTAAAATCCATTCATAACTTTTCCATAATATGTATTTTCTGTTGTTTTTTTTTTTAAAGACTCCCCTCCATGCATGGATTCTTTTTTTTACACCAAAATATTCTTGCCCTTAATTCCGTTATCCACCAAAGTTTTAAAATACTCTCATACCTAATTGGGAACCAGAGAACATGGAGTTTCAAAGTTAATTCTTACAAACTCATTATTTGGCTATGTATGGCTCCTTACCTTCTCTGACCACTGGTTTCTGCACCTCTCAAGTGGAGCAGTTGGACAAAGTGATGAATGAAGTTATATACATTACTAAATCTGTGTGGTCCTGAGTCCTTTAGCCAATCAAAAATATGTGTTTGGGGAGGGGTTTGTATGTGGAACAAACCTAAATGTTAGTCATTAGTAGGAGAAGATTGGAAGGTGTTATTCAAAGAAGAGCAACATGAAATAAGTTTGGAAGCAAGAATGGGAGTCATGTGTTTAACGAAGAGCAAGATCAGAGGATTCCTGTTATAGAACAACTGAGATGATAGAGTATAGAACCCATGTTCAGTAAAAATGAGGTAGAGGCTAATTGTGATGGTGTTGGATCAGAACCCATTCAATATTTTGATCAGGAAATGATCTCATTATATAACCAAAGCGGTGACTTAGAGAGCTTGTTCTATTAATCAGAGTCAAATTTTCAAAATTCATATTTTTCGTATAAGATCATATTTGAAAGGGTGTAAGAATATACTTTGTTATGAAACATTAGCTGATCCTAATGTTGCTATAAAACTAGTTTTTAAGCCCTAAAGCCAATGATATAACATTGCTTTCTGAAGAATACCAATATATACTTGAATTGGTAATATGTGATTATTTAGAGGTAGGTTTTTGAAAACTTGAGAGATGAATTTCTAATTCAAATGGAAAATTCTTTACATGTCTATATATCTACATTCATAGACATATATGTACTTTTATATTATTATTCAATTACATTTTTAGTTAAATACTAAATTTATCTTTACATATTTAACATATTTTTAATGGTGCAAATATCTCTGAAAATTGGCTCTTGGCTTGCTTGATTATAGGTAACACATGGTAATGTTTTGGAATTTGTCCTCTTGATTTTCTTCTTAAATCAGCTAAGGCATATCCATATCTCTTGTGAGTTTGTCACTCTCAAGACTGAAAGTTGATAAGCTTCCTGAAAAAAAATTAGTCTACTAGATGACATTGACAGGGAGTTGATTGTCCAAAGAGTGAGTCATATTGACCTAAAGAAAGGTATGTCAAGCAAAAATAAAAGAGAATCTTGGGTATTTGTTGTGTAAATGCTCTAATCATAGAAGGTTTTACCTTACATTTCATATCAAATCATAACTTCTCAGACATATGATGGTAAGTTTAACAAATCATAACAGACTAAATCTTCAAAACTCTTTGTTTAAAGGTAGTTTAAGCACAAGTTAAATAATAGGTACAATATCCTTAACTTTCACTGAATAAATAGAAATGACAATGAGGTCTATATTAATGTAAAAAGCAATCATTTTCCCTTTCATTTTCTAAGTCACCAATGATGTTGCTAGATTGTCTATTTAGAAAGTGGCCACTTTGTTCAAAGTTGTTTTGATAAAGGAGGCACACCCAGTGAAAACTTTCAGCATTGTTTTTTGAAGGGCAGCCACAAAAGCTAAAACATCTTGAGAACTTTGGGATCAGATCATAGTACCAAAAATGTTGCTGGGTCACAAGGGTGATATTTTTCCCTTCTATGTATGTATAATTCTTTCTTTTCTCCTTCTGATAAACAGGAGATGGAGAATTATCGTGGGAACATTCTGATGGTGATATCTTCCGGCAACCTGCCAACAGAGAAGCAGTAAGTGTGAAGAGTTCAAATAATTCAACACTCCATAACCATCAGGCCAACCTTTTCTCTTTCCATGGCTACTATCCCAGAAAATAAAATAAAAAAAAAGGACCCATTTCTGACACAATTATTCCTCTTCTTCTGAAATTTGAATAAGAGCAGCAACTTGCAGCCATCTAAATGCACTGTATAATTGACAACCAGGGTCAGCACATCAACATGAAGAAACTATTACCATACCCTTGTATCTAGACCAGGAATTGATATCCTTTCAAGGTAATTTACCATTTTTATGTTCCCTGTAAGGAAGGCAAACCACTACCACAGTGTTCTACCATGAAGACCTTCTGTAAGAATGTAAGTCAGTCCACTCCATCCTTTTAATGGGATTAATGGATTCTGTGGCTATGTTTATTTAAATTATCTCTTATGCCTTAGGTTCTTCATCATGTAATTGGAAGAAAGTTAGCCATATTCTTCCTTTTATTTTACTCTGTGGTGTCTCCTTATTGTTGTTAGTCTTAATCTCAGACTAAACCTCAGAAGTAGATATCTCCATAAGCATGGTGATAGCATGTTTTGTTCCTTTGTATTCTGAAGTAATTGACAGAATAGAATCCCTCTCTTTAAAAATACATATCTAAAATGAATTTTATTTAGAACTTCTTAAAATCTGAACAGTAAATGTTAAAGTGCAAAGAATCTATTATATTTAAGGTACTTATAAAAGTGTACAGTATGTAAAGAGGTGTTCATTGCACATAAGCAAATTTTTATCACACCTTTACATGAAAGAAGTATAAGGGACTTTCAGTAAGTGTGAAAAGCATTATTTCAGTAAGTGTGAAAAAGTGACAACATATGTGTCTATCAACAGGGCCTTAGTTAAAGATACTCAATTCTTTAGACACTGTGAAGTTGTTAAAAAGGATATGGTGCATCCAAGTATAAGTAAAGTGGTGCCAATCTCAAGATGTAATATATTAAGAAATCAATGCAGTATAAAATTTTATTTTATGTAAAAACTGTGTGCGATTATGCGTAACGTGCATATCAAGAACACATGGGAGGTCACATACCAGCATATAAAGGCTGGTACTCTCAGAGGAGTAAAAGTGAGCAAGTGAAAAGGCAGCCTTTAAATCTTTAACTTTATTTTATCTATTATTTTAGGTTTTCCACACATATGAATTAGTTTTACACAAAATAAAATTTAAATATAAAACCTTAGATTGGTTCTCAGCAAGTATTAGATATGAAACAGGAAACTAGGGAGTCCAGGATAGTGATAGTGTGAGGTAGGGAATGATAGGGGATGTCATCAAAATAATCAAGACAAACATCACCATGTTGTTTAGTCTGGGATTCCTGGTAATCACTTGGCTCTTTCTGACTTACATGCCCTGTCTTGCGAACACCCACCCCAAAGGCTCAGCTATGAGATTGAGCATTTTTTATTTGCTCTATTCTCTAGCAATTTTGTGTTCTGGACATTGCTGTCTCTGGATGAATGTTGAAACATTATTTTGGACAACTCAAAAAAGCAACATCCCACAAGGGAGGACAATCTTCCCTATTTGTTGGTTAATATAGAGCCCAAGAAAAGATTCTCTTTGTATCTCCTTTACAGTCAAGTAAGATTCCTTCCAGATCCTGAAATGTTGTGAAGTCAGTCTCAGGTTTTTTTTTTGTATTGTAAATTTTCTCTTGTCTGAGCTCCATTTTTTTTTTTTTTCTTTTGCAGTAAGAAGTTGAAAGTTGCTAAGTTAATGGCTGTTAACCAGATGTCTCTCTAAACCAAATTTTGGGCTTATTCATCTTAAGATATATATCCTATTCCCTAAGAAGCCCCATACTATGTATTGTCACTACCTTATTGGTCTTGGTGGTGGTGGTGGTGCTCCTTATTTTTGTTTGTTTTTTACTTTGCTCAGCATCATTGTTCTTCCTAACCTGCTAGTCAGAGGGCTTGACTTAATCCAGGACTTCCTGTAGCAAAAGAGGTCAGGTACAGAGCACAGATTTGAAATGGTTATTGATTTTTAAAGGGGTTTGAAACTTTTCTTTAGAAGCAAATGTTTGGTCTTGGTAGGCCAAAAAACCAGATGGCTCCACTTTATTATAAATAAATATTTCCTTTTGTTCTAAAAGGAATAGTTATTATGGGATATGATTTGAATAATAGTGTCTTTAGTAATGGAAAAATGTCTAACTGGCAAATAGCAAACACTCAATAAATATGTGCTGAATAAGTGGGTGAAGAAGGTAAATCAAAATTTATGCAGTGGCACGGGTGGGAAAGTGAAGGTTTCATTCTTCCTAATACACAGCAATTTGTTTCAAATCAGAAAGAAAAGCTTTAGATTTGTTGTTTGATCTGGAGAAACTTTAAATGAGAAGATAGCAGAATCTTTTCTAAATATCCTTTGCAAGCCCAACTTCCTGTGTGGGAGCAAAAGGCACAGCCCTACCAGCGCATTTCCTATTCAATAGACTCGGTTTTCTGGTATGCTGCTCCTATTTTCAGGGAACCAGCAAAACCTCTGTACAACACAGATGATTGGTTTATTTTGCCAAGTGGGCTGAAAACCGTCAGCTTAAGGGAAAATTGTGGTTCAAATATGATTTTGTTGTGAAAACTGCAAACGCTGTTGTTTAATTTCTACATTGTAGCTTTACATGCATTGGTGCTTGTGACATTAGGGAATGTGGGGTGTTTGTGTGTTTATGTGTATAGTATCTGATGAGCAGGAATGGGAAGCCATGTCATGAGAGTAAGAATAATGTTGTTGTAGACAACAGTCAAACTTTTGACTGCTGTTGCCAGTAGATTACACGGAAGTTTATCATTAGAAAAATTGAAGATTCGAGGATTGAGACAGCATGAACCATGAAAGAAATGCACATTTTATTCATGTTGTCAGAACAGTGGTTGAGGATGAAATTTCCAAACAGGAATAGTCCCAGGATAATGGTGAGTAATATATAAAGTTTTCATAGGTGTGTAGATTAGAATATATTCTCAGCATGTATCAAAGACATAGCAAAAGCTTCAATGAACACAGAGAGATCCGATATACCTTTGCCCAGTTTCTTTGAATGGTAGCACCTTGCCGATGTATAGTACAGCGTCGCAACCTCAAAACTCTCTCTATGGCTCTTAAAAAGAGTCTAAAGACTGAGATTTTCCAGTTCCAAACAATAAAACTATTGTATTCTATACCTAAAATCAAGCAAGGGAATTATTTCCAGGGAGCTTCTACGATCCTGGGGATTTCCCCATACCAGAAAATGATTTCAGAGCCACCCTCAATGCTTGAAATACTTCTTAGGGATTCTAGTCAGCAAATCAGTAAGTATGAGGGCAGTGCTGCAACACATGGTAGGTTATCCTCTGTTTGAGGCATCAACATCCTATATGGGTTCTAGTTCAAGGCTTGGCTACTCCATTTCTGATCCAGCTCATTGCTATTGTGCCTAGGAAAGCAGTGGAAGATAGTCTAAGTCCTTGAGTTCCTGCACCCACATGGGAGATTTAGAAGAAGCTTCTAGATCCAACTCAGCTATAGCCTTGTGGTCATCTGGAGAGTAAACCAGTGGATGGAAGATCTTTCTCTGCCTTTTCTTCTCTGTCTATAACTCTGCCTTTCAAATAAAAATAAGCAAATTGTTAAAAGGCGCATCTCAAACACATGTTTTTCTTAAATATATGAAAATGTATCATAAAATAATAAAAAGTTGATAATTTAAAAATGCAAATAATATGTGAAACCATTAAACAAAATAAAACCAAAGCACAGCTTTGTGGTCCTTTCCACCAGAATGATTTTGACCTACTCTCTCAAGCAGCCTATTTGCAGCTGGTCTTTAGATAAGCCTCAGTTTCACACAACTATCCAAAGGCTTTTTGCTACTTTGCTGTAATTTACCAGGTCAGAATGGTCCCTAGTCAAACTCTTCCAATATATTTTTTAAAGGAGGTGACCCCTACTAGAGACAAACCTCATGCCTAAATATTCTTCCAGATAGTATTTTAAAAATCCTGATATCCAGGCATCAGTCCAGACCAATTACTCTCTGGGAGTGGGACCCAGGCATCAGTGTATTTTACAGTTCCCCAGGTGACTCTAGTGTGCAGGCAAGGTACAGAAGCAGCAATGTGTGTGGTTGTGAGCACTGTAACGAAAATTCTAGGATGAAACGTCCACAAGTTCTTAAGAAATTAAAAGGAAACATGAATTTATTTTGGTGCAAAAAATGTTTGAAACCATTCAGAGTTTTGTTCAGAATATATGCAATTTCCATGACCTTTTTCTTGGGGGGTGGGGATATGGGAGGAGGGATGTTTTATATGCATGGATTTCAAAAACCTTTATACCAACATAAACTTACTTCATAGTTCCAATTCTTACATTTAGATGTGTTTTGTGCACCTGAAAGAACTTTTCTTTGTGATAGTGGATCACTAAATTTGTTAAGAGCAACCTCTCTTAAACCTTCTTCGCCTTTCCTTTTCCTCCTCTTCTATTTGTTTTCTCTTTGCCTCCCATTCTCACACTTACCATCTCTCAAACTTCAATTTTCATTGTCATCCCAAGTACATCACCTCGCCTCTCTAGTATCAGTTTCTCTGTCTATAAAACAAAAAGTTTCATGGGAAAAAAACCTTTTCAACATGATAAAGCTGTGGAGGGGCTGAGTGATCTCTCATAGGGCCTGTAATCAAAATTCCTGAGTCTTTGGAACAGGGTGGGGTTTGCTGGGAGGGCTTGGATCATTTTCCGACCCTTAGCATGTACCTTGGTGCTGAAGAACAGCTTTTCGTTTTGTGTTCAGCATTGTGAATCATAGAACTTCTTGTGCTTGCAACTTATCTGGGGTCAGTGACCTTCCGTCTAATTCCATTCCTGTTGGACTCCTTCCTTTTAATGTGGAATATACACTACACAAACTTTCCCCTCTGTGTTCCTTTATAACAAAGTCTTGCCAAACCCTTGTGGAATGTGAATGATCATGGCAAGGGAAAAAAAAAAAGGTATCAAGTCGTCGTGGGAATGAAAAATTATTTGCACCGAGAATCCTGTCTGTGTGCATGACAACAAATTCCTGCAAATCCTTACTTGTGTAAATTTTTATAGCAATGCCACAGCAGGGGCTCTTCTGAAATATAGAGAATAATGTTTTTCAACAGGCTGAAAAGTTCCCCCTAATTGAGCTCCTGTTCACTCTGCCCTCCCACCAAGAGACTAATAATATTCCCAAAGCTAAGTTTGTAATGTGTGTGTATGGCACATAATTTCAATAAATGTTTTATAGGATGGTGGGATCAGGTGCTCTCATAACCTTCTTCTCAAGATTCCATGCTATTTCTGTCATTTCATGTAATGATTTCCCCTTTTAAATTGCCTGTGAATGATTTTTTACTAAGCTGCCCCCCCTTTGTCCCTGATAATTGCTCCTACATTATAATTAGTGTTATTTGGCTTTCAGCCCTAATGTTCCATTTTTTTCTTTCATTCTATCTTTTGGTTCTGGGTAGGGGTGGGTAGCAGAGCAGTGAATTCATCAAGCAGCTCGAACTCTTGCTGCAGGAGTAGTAGTTGAATTATTTGTACTAAAAATGGTAAACTTCCTTTAGGAATCATAGTTTCATTCATTTAACAAATATTAGCTGAGTACCTTCTAAATGCTGGGCATTGTTCTAAGCACACAAAACAAATTATCAGCTTTGTGTGGAACTTACATTCTAATATGCTCATGGACTGTCAACTCTGTTATTGATCAAGCACATAGGGCATCTCTGCTCTCTATGAGATCCTGAGCTGTTGCCTGTGTTTAGAGTCTCAGTACATCTGACTGAGACTATGCTTGACTTCCTATCTTTACTCCCAAGGAGTTCAACCTACACAACATTAAGGTTCAATGCTTCGAAGCAGTTCTGATCAAGTTACTTAACTAAAAAACAAAACAAAACAAAAAAGTCCTCAAGGACTTCCACACCAGCCCCTCCCTTTCTTACCTTATAAAGTCCTCACTCCTTAGTCTATCATTTAAAGTCTTTCATGATCTGGTTCCAACTCCCTTTTAGACTGTTATCCTTCAACTGTTCCCTTTTATGGTCTCTATGTTTTCTGTTACACCTTCATGACTTGGAGTCTCTAACCAGAATACTCTTCACAAACTGTGCCTGTAAAATGTCTATCAACTCTTCATGGCTCAGACCAATTCTTCATGGCCCAGGTTGCCAACCCTCCCTTGTCTAGTAACTCTTGTCTTAATTTATGCACAGTGTATACTTCTGTGGCCTCTGGCACCATCCACCTTATGCTGTAGACTGTTTTCCTAACTCTTTTTTAAGGATTAATTTGTTTATTTATTTGAAAGACATTGTTACGGAAAGAAAGGGAGAAACACAGAAAAATCTTCTATCTGTTTAAACATTGCTGACAATGCCACAGCGGCCAAGCCAAAGCCAGGATTTAGGAACTTAATCTTGGTCTCCTCTGTCTGTGGCAGAAAAACCAAACATGTGGGCCATCTTCTGCTGTTTTTCCCAGGCCATTAGTTGGGAGCTAGACTGGAGGTGAAGTAAGCAGAGCTAGAACCAGTGCCCGTATTGGAGTCCAGTGTCTTGGGCAGTGGCTTTTCTTGCTGGGCCACAATGATAACCCCTTAAATCGTAAACTGAATGTGACAGTCTTGAGAAGGAAGGACACTGCAGCTGTTTTGATTGTTTTCTCTTAAAGGAGTTTGTGAATCTAGTTAAATCTGTGAGAAGAAAATCCTAGCTTACTTCCACCAGTGCTTTCAGATGATCACATTGCTATTTCTATTATAGTATGTAGACATTTTCAGTACAGCAGCCAGCATTATGAATCGAAATCGCCGTATGTCTTCTAATGCCTATAACTCAATCTCTGTGATCTTGTTGACCTGATTTTTTTTCCTGGCCATTTTACAGAGACATTCTTACCCTCGTTCTCACTATGATTCTCCACCAAGCCGACAAGCTGGAGGTCTGCCCCGTTTTCCAGGGTCCAGAATCCACCGAGGAACTCCTATTGATTCCCAGCAAGCATCAGGGACCATTGTGCAGATTGTCATCAACAACAAACACAAGCATGGACAAGGTAAGGAGCATCCTGGTCTCAATTTTCTTTCATCTCAGGGATTCATCTGTCCTGCTCCTTGGAAGACTAGGGCGAAGAAACGAACCTTTCTCCCATGAGGGAGTAACATGTGGATAGCTTACCATTGCACCTACAAAATGCATATGGAGAAGTGACACAAGGGGGAATCTAAGGGATTTTCTTCAGATACCCAAAAGAGCATGACCAATTCTCCTTGTGCTTGTGAACCAGCCTCCATAATTTTTTGTGTCTCTTGGAGGTTGGAGGTCAAGTGGTTGAAAATTCTTTGCCTCTAACAGAATGAGAACTTGTTCATTTTCCTGTAGAGCACCTGATTTCCAAAGGGACTCGGTGCCAAATAATTCCAAAGTGTAGTCAATGCATGGCGTATGAGGGGCTTGTCTTTATTATTATTATTATTATTATACTTGTTTATGATACAGTTCCATAGGCTCAGGGATTTCCCCTCCCCTCGCCTGCCTAATTTCACCACTGATCTCCCCTATATTATTACAATAGTATAGTCCTTCAACAATAGTCACATGTCCATTATTCTGCTATTGAAGTGTATCCTAACATTGTAGGGATGAGTAATTCTGTAAGTGAACTCTAGAAACCACCTGACTCAGCACCAGGAGGACTGATGAGGTTAGTACACTGACATGTAGCCCACTCAGCCACCCCCTGGCTGCAACAAGCACCCACATGCGTCCCGAAGTCCCATTTCTTCCTGAACAGCATTTTCTGACCTCTACCATCCTCCCAGTAGCGGGGGCGGGGTGGAGCAAAACAATTCACTGCTTCTTAATTTTTTAGGCATCCTGTCAATCAGCCTTTTGGAGCAAGAGCTCAGCTAGTTCATTTTTATGAAACCACAAATATGTTTTGTTTCCTTTAAAGGAAAAACAAATCAAAGGCAGTTCTCTGAATGGGTTAAAAGTAGTAAATTATTAAACCGAATGATTGAATAACATGGGTGAAAAACAATCCGTTACAGAGAACTCCTACTATAAATCTTAACCAAGATAGTCAAGCCAAAGCTAGTTGATCACATCTGTTATTAGTTAGATGTAAATTTCAGATTACAGGTTAAAAATTCAATCGCTTTTGAAACTTACAGGCTTAAAAAAAATCCAAAAGTAAGCTCTTAATAACAAAAAAGATGGTATATTAAAAGAATTGTAAATGCTTTCTACTGATGTGTGCATAATTTGAAATTTACTATTTTTTAACAGCCAAGGCATTTTGATAATGTAAATGTATTATTTTAGTTGCGGAGGGAATTTAGGTAAACAGACAGATTGATTTCCAATATTACGGTGCCTCGGGTAAAGCTTTTACAAAATAACGTAGAAATGGACTTCAAAAATCCGAAATCCCGTAATTTCCACAAGGCCTCTTCATTTTCAGGGCAGAAGCTCATTTCTCAGTTGTCTGTATATTTATATTTATTCATCTGCTCTGTCAGTTTGGGTGCAGCAGTTCTTTCCTGACCTTTCCATTATAATTCACTGAAGAACCACTTGTCCGCACCCTCAACTCTCCAATCCCCAGCTGGATGATTCAAAATCACCTCAGACCTTCTAGGTGGGGAAAAGGCTGTATTTCCCTCTAGAAAACAGATTTCACTCTATTCCACTTCAGAATTCCTTTCTCAGTCTTGCCTATTTCCTTACTGCAAATGTTTAAGGCAGGGGGGCATATAAGAAGATCTTGCCTGTTCGACTCCTAAGCATGACTCATCTTTCTCTGTAGCTCTTTTGCTAGTGATGTGGCCTGCTGGGATGCAGCTATTTGCTTCCTTATTAGGATCAAAGAGAAGAAATAAGACTCTAGCTTTATGATCTTGAATTCTGCCTGAATTTTCTTTAAGCAGACTAAATTCCCACTTGATCACAATGTCTAGAAGAGAGTATCACTGAGGAAGGCAGAGAAGAGGTGAGGGAAGGAGAAAGAAGAACACATCTGCCCTGCCTAGGGGTAATCCTTTCTACGGCCCAGAGCCTCACAATCGAGGTCTCAGGTTTCTATTCTATCATATTATAAGGTTGAGAATCTCTGGTTTGAATTTTTGGAAATGTTTACATGGATTGACCTGTTAAAGTGTCCAGTGCTCTAGAAGTTTTTACAAAGGACAGGAAATGGCAGCCAGCATCATTCATATTTCTTAATGTGACCCAGGGGGCCTGATGAGAAAGAAATAGCCCAGTGATTCATCCTGAAGCTATTGTCTAGCAGCCAAATCAGTCAGTTCCTAGAAAAGCCCCAAGCGGGGCTATCCCCTTCCCTTTGCCCACCCCCGCCTAACGTGATACAACCCACCCCGGAGATGTTGATTGGGATGTCTACAAGGCTCCCCGGGGCAGGATGAGGTGATGGGGATAATGAGAAACACACCCATTCACTGTCATGGCTTGAAACATCCACAACATCTGAGCACTGTCAGGGAGAGAACTCATTCTGTGAGCTCCCCATTCGTAGCCTCATTGTAGTTCTTATCCTGGAGCCTAGTTTCATCCTTAACAGTAGGAACCAGCCGGGTTTCAGGGTTGATTTTCTTGGAAACAATGTTCCTGTGGTTGCCTCCTTTCGTGGGACACTCGATCTGCAGCCCAGATGCTTGCTCTTTCAAAGTACCTCAGCAAACATGGAGGCAGTGATTACACTTTCCTCTTTACAAGTGTCAGAATGTCAAAGGAAATCTATGGAGCAGTCCGGAACTAGCTGAAGCCAAATCACTGCATCCATTATGAGATGCATGACTGAGGAAGTTACTTTAAAATTAGAGGCATGAAAAATGTAGACCTTTATAAATTAGCTGAGATCCTTTCCCTCTAGGTATTGCTTTCACACTTTCCTTCCTACATCACAAAGCAGGACTAGTATCATTAAGTTCCATACGCAATCTGTGTGGATGGATCAAACTTCCGTAGCATTTGACATTCAGAATGCATTTGCTACAGGGGTAGGAAAACAATTGGCAAATTGAGAAGAGCCATAATTTTTGCATCTAGCATCCTTGCACAATGAATTTTCATGCTTGGAATTATATCTACTTGGGCCACAGAAATCTTTTTTGGGACCATGGATATCAATACTAATATTCTAGTAGAGAGTCCTTCTGTTGCCCAGGAAAGATAGAAGTCTGCTCTCACATGCTCATTTATTCTTCCATTAAAAAGATACTTATGGCTTACTGACTATGCTTCAGGTCATTTGTGACCATCCGGAGACTGTTACTGAAAACTTAGGTAGCTGCTAACAGTAGAATGCAGCAGCCCAGGCTGATTTAAGGTCATGTAGACTACTCTGTATGCATAAACCTACGGTATGGCAGAAACAAAGGATGCTGGGTGTGTTGAACAGTTTAGGACTTGCATTCTGAGCCTAGATACACCATTTTAACTCCCTAGCCTTTAATTTCCAGGCCTATGTTCTCTTCCAGTGTGTGTTTCCAATGGAAAGACCTACTCCCATGGCGAATCCTGGCACCCAAACCTTCGGGCGTTTGGCATTGTGGAGTGTGTGCTGTGTACTTGTAATGTCACCAAGCAAGAGTGTAAGAAAATCCACTGTCCCAATCGATACCCCTGCAAGTATCCTCAGAAAATACATGGAAAGTGCTGCAAGGTGTGTCCAGGTAAAAAGGCAAAAGGTGCGTTGTTTGGAGGTCCTACCTTTAGCTGACTGAAGAACTCATATAAGCCATCTTAACTTTCTTTAAGCATCAGAAATATAGCGATTTGTCGTATAATTATAACGATAATAGTTAAGATAAAAATAAACCTCATTTTCTCCTAATCTTGAGGAATACAAATGGGTTCTCAAAAAATTTACTACTAAAAGATATGCCAGCATATACCATTAAGTGTGCCATACTTCCTATGTAAGCCTCAGAGTCAAAGTAATATTATTATTACAAAGAACAGTAGCACTTTTCATTTATATCACCAAGGAGCAATTGCCTATCCAGTCAAAGTACATTATCCTTTTGAGATAGAAATAAAGGTAAGTCATAGTGGTAAGGATTGAATTCTAGTCCAAATTTGCAAATTTGTTTGAAAAACATGCCATATCGTCAGGAGAGCAGAGAAATCTTCCACCTTCTTAGCGTGTGTGAGGAAGATGTTAAGTATAATCTTTCAAGATTGTAATAGGTAACTTATAAATAACAGACTTGAGACTGCATTAGACATTAGCAAAAACTACAGTGGGATCCAAGAGCGATCCTGACAGCCTCTTAACAGGAGGTCATTGCACAGAGCAGGAGGGCACCCCAGAGTGGAACAGGAGGAAAGAGGAGGTTTGTATCCTAGTCCTGGAGACCCCCGGAAACCTCCCAAATGCCTTCACCACAGAAGCAGTGGATACCTCTTCAAGGACTGTCAGTATAGGCACCAAGAACCATATTCCAACTGCCTAGGAGATCACAGGGAATTTGAGTGCTCTCATAGGCCTAGAACTTTGAAGTCAACCATTCCCTATCGGATCTTCCACACAGGATGGAAGCAGCCCAGAACCCTCCCCACAGGGTCTAACGACATCTGAACAACAGCCAGGAGCCCCAGGTGGTCCTCAGAGACAGAAGAATAGTAAACTTCCTTCTGGACCCAGGAGAGGAGCGTTCTCTTGTCCTTACATAATTCCAACTTTGACTCCCCATCCTCTTTTGCACTGACCATCAGGGTTACTCCGGAGCCCCCAAAATTAGATCAGGTAGTCAGAGACAGACCAATAAGGAAAGCTTAGAACAGACAAGAAAATGTCAGCTTGGATTCTCATATACCTCACTAGGTAGGACACAAAGATCAGTTACTCCTAAGTTATTGGAGATTTCTCTGCACACCCCTCCTAAAGCTGTTCTACTCCTCAGTTGTTAACATATGGCTTGTTAGAGTTATAAGCCTTTTTAGATAATCCTAAAAATCAAAGTTCAGTAAAATCTTGAATACTATAAAATGCTAAATAGTACCCTACAACCATTTTAAGGTTTATAACAGTTGGTTATGTATAAACTAAAATTGAGATGTCAATGAAGAACTTGTACTTCTTAATACATCAATCGATCAGTAGCATGTTATTTAACTTCATGATGTTGTAAATTTCCATTTTTCTGTCTGTTATTGATTTTGTATTATGGCTCTTCATTTAAGGGGATGTATAATAACTGTTTATTGGAAACTATCATATCTAGATGTGAGGATATTCTGCCATCTCTACTTTTAGATCAAAGATGGACTCCCAATGAATCTGTTAAATTTGTCTTGACAATAGGATGCTTGACTCTCCTCATGGTCTATGCCCACAATGATAGAATTATGACTGTTTATGAACTATACTGTTGTAATAATACAGGAGAAATCAGTATGGGGGGAGGGCTGCAGGAGGGGTCAGGGGAAGTCCCGGAGCCTATGGAACTGTGTCATTAAAAAAAAAAAAAAAGAAAAGAAAAACAGAAAAACATACTATATGTACTGTGACCCACATCAGCCTCATCTGTACAATGCAAAGTTCAGAACAATTAATGTCTTTGTTCCTTTCCAAAACTAAATTCCTAAAATTATATTATTTCTATTTCAAATATAAGAAAACTGAAGTGTATAGGTTGCTGGTACAGACAATGTCAGACAGTCCAGCATCCATTGTCTAGATATGTCCAACAGTTTCATTGGGAGTCCATCTTTGATTTGAAAGTAGGGATGCATGTTGCATTGTATCTTCACATCTGAGTATCAGGGTGGTTTTCTTTCTGGCGACTCATAGGGTGGTCCATGGACCAGCAGTGCCTTAGCACTAATTAAAAATCCTAACCCCCAGATCTACACCCTAGAACTACTGCATCAGAATCTTCATTTTTAAAATATTTATTTACTTTTATTGAAAAGGCAGATATGCAGAGAGGAGGAGAGACAGGAAGATCTTCTGTCTGATGGCTCACTCCCCTAGCGGCTGCAATGGCCAGAATTGAGCCCCTTCTGGGTTTCCCACGCGGGTGCAGGGTTCCAAAGCCCTGGGCCATCCCTGACTGCCTTCCCAGGTCACAAGCAGAGAGCTGGATGGGAAGTGGAGCTGCCGAGACTAGAACTGGTGCTGATATGGGATCCAGGCATGTAGGCGTGTTCAAGGCAGAGACCCCAACCGCTATGCCATCACGCCTGGCCCAGAATCTGCATTTTAACAAGATTGCCATGTGGTTGATACTAATGCACACTAAAGTTTGAATAATATTAATTTATGGCACAAATTATAATTTCCCAATATTAGGAGTCCCATATTCACATATAAATATGGAACAGAGTGTAGATAGGAAAAAAGGGAGTGATCAGATAAGGAATACAGAATATGAGCATCAAAATTCATCAGAAAATTAGTGTTAAAAAGAGAGCACAGGCCCGGCGCGGTGGCGCAGTGGTTAAGGTCCTCGCCTTGCACGCCCAGGATCCCATATGGGCACCGGTTCTATCCCGGCAGCCCCGCTTCCCTGCCAGCTCCCTGCCTGTGGCCCGGGAAAGCAGTTGAGGATGGCCCAAAGCTTTGGGACCCTGCACCTGTGTGAGATACCCGGAAGAAGTTCCTGGCTCCTGGCTTCGGATGGGCATAGCATTGGCCGTTGCGCTCACTTGGGGAGTGAATCATCGGACGGAAGATCTTCCTCTCTGTCTCTCCTCTCTGTATATCCGCCTTTCCAATAAAAAAATAATAAAAATAAATCTTAAAAACAAACAAACAAAAAAACAAACCAAAAAGAGAGCACATTCTAACCATTGTGACCACCCAGCTGTGATGGCCTATTAAGATTTCCAGATCTTTGATCTCAGTAGATCCTTTACCCATTTTATGTCAGTTGTAGTTCCATCAGTATAATACTCTCTTCTGTCAAGTGTCTTAACACCTCAAGTTGAAAAAGGAATACAACAAGATAATTTCAGGGAAAAGCTAGTAGTTACATAAGCTATGCAGAATAACAAATAATTTCTTACTATGTAAGAGTCTAATTGAAATTTCAGTCCTTCAGACCAAATCCCATCTCATTGTGTGCTAAGCATATTATTGATGCCAGTGAATTCAAAAAGGAAGAATAGAAATTTGTGAGACCAGGGCCTAGAACTAACAGTGATCTTCAAATAAATGCCTTCTTGGTTTTGTGATGTTTTTTGAAAATTTTGGATAAAATAATTGAAGTCCTAGTAATCCTTAAAGTAACCAAAGACATACACTAAAATAGATAAATAAGGGTTTTTGATATGCTGTTTATAATGCTGAAAAATTATAAACATTCTGAAATAATACAAATATGGAAATAGTTAAATTATGGGTATGTAGCCTATTCAATATGCGCTTCTCTCTCTCTCTTTCTTTTTCTCTCTCCTTCTTTTCCCTCTCTCTCTCCTCTCCCCCATATCCTTCTCTCCATTTCTTCCCCTTTCTCACTGACTCTCAAATATTTCCAGCCTACCATCTAAATTTATGAATCATAGCAAATAAACAAGTTTCTATCAAAGACCTGTTTTACCCACTTTCCCACTCCACTGAGGCATATAAAGAGATGATCTTTTGGGCATTTCAGAAGGGCATAGTTTCTGTCTCAGTCTATATATCTACTTCTCTTTGGGCCAGACATGGATATCAGAATGCTGAATCACTTCTGCTGGTCACATTATTTTAAGTATCCAAACAGCCCAGGACAGCTCACCCAGATACTCAGCAACTGCAGAACATCAGATGCACTTGTTCTTGCATCTAATCTGCAAAATATATTAAGAGCGTACTCTCTGCAGAGACACAGACACTGAGAATAAACAAGACAAAGAATCTCTACCTTCATGGTCCTTATATTCTAGCAGAAAATACAGAATGTAACCCAAGCCAATAAAGCATTTTTCAATAGTGATGAGTACATTGAAGAAGGTTCGGTAGAATCAGAAGATAATGGATGAAACAGGAAGCACCTTCAAATGATTGGTTGGAAAATGCTTCCCTAAAGAGGTAATATTTGAATAGAGTCCTGAATGACGTGGTCAACATAAGAAATGAAACAATCTTGATATTTTTTATTTCATAAGAAATTATATACGACAGAGGAAAAGGAACAAGAGAGTAAGGGAGTAAGGGCAAAAGAAAAACCAGTGGATGGCCCAGCATGGTAGCCTAGTGGCTAAATCCTCACCTTGCATCCACTGGGATCTCATATGGGTGCTGGTTTTAATCCCAGCAGCTCCATTCCCGACCCAGCTCCATGCTTGTGGCCTGGGAAATTAGCAGAGGATGGCCCAAGGCCTTAGGACCCTGCATCCATGTAGGAGACCTGGAAGAAGCTCCTGACTCCTGGCTTCAGATTGGCTGCCTTTCCAATAAAAAAAAAAAATCTTTAAAATTAAAAAAAAAAAAAACAGTGGAGAAAAGAGTCTTTAAATTCAGTTATGTTGGTTAGGGGAAGAGGACAATAACTTTGCCAATAATCCAGTCAGAGGTTTTCTTGTAACAAATGATTATGCGTTCTTCCAGCAACAAACCAGACAGAAATGAAGTGTGAATTTCACCTCTCTCTTCTTGCCTTTGTTCTGCCACAGACTTTCCTGGCCTTCCCTACCATTGGCCACTTACATGACTGTGTAGGACTTCCGTTTCCTGAGGGTTTCCCCAATTCACCTCTCACATCCTTTGCACGATTCACTGAACCTGGAATTCCTACAATTACACCTTTCATATTATGGCATGAAAAGTCCTGGTTAAGACATGGAAGTTTCCTGGAATGTCAGGATATATCTCCTTAATCAGTCATCCTCATTTCCATAAAGAATGGTTTCCTCAATATTTTAATTCTGGGGGTCTCAGTCCAGGAATGTCCTCATGATACTTGATAATGGCCAGAAGTGACTTAAACCATGGCATACTTCCCTGGAAGGAAATAAGAGCTGGTGAGCCTGGAGTGAGTACTATACACCTTGAGGTGAAGAGTATGAAAAATGGAGGAGAATGTTGCTGAATAAATCCTTCTAAAGACAACCTTTGCTTATTGTCTTCAAATGCCAGCCAGGATTGAGTCACTGGTGGGTTTTGTTGTTGTAGATCCCTCCAGTCTAGTACATTCAGCTCTTGGAGAGGAGAGAGTGGTGGTGCAGGATGATTCTTCAGGATACTGGGAGAACTTTGAGCATATTACAGGTACTTCCAGTGCCATCATGAATTCCATGTCAGTTACAGCAATAGTCAGTATTAAGCTGGTGAGCAACGTTTAACAAATGAACTTGGCTTCTATTCAAAAGGTGATAATCAATTACATTAAGGTCCCTGTACACGCAATCATCTCCTGCCTACCTCCACACATTTGAATACTGACTAGCACACATCCCTTAATTACCTAACATATTGCCCAAAAGAGTGGCCAACAAAGTAATCAAATTGCTAAGCGAAAGACAAAAAAAGGAAAGAGGGCTCATTCTAGGATAATTCGCAAATTGAGTATTCCAGCTTGGAATTGTTAAAAGATTATGGTTGTGTCCTTTTTTTGCCAAATGGTGGTAGAGGTTGGAAAGTTAATCAGGTCAGCAAGAGACATACAATAACAATCTGATTACAGCTTCTAGTCTACATGTGTCTGATTGATTAACTGGAGCTCTAATTAGAGCTCAACACTCAATGGTTTTGTGATCAATGATGTGAATATTCTTGCAGATGGCTTCTGCTCAGAGTTTTCAGGATGTCCTAAACTTATCTTTGTCATTCCTGATTTCACTATATACTTTAAGCAGCTGAAGAGCGTGCTGCTTATTATGAAGCCAGCAGAAAAACGTAACTCATTGATAAGCAAAATGAAGCAGTTTTTTTCTTGGAAGGGAGCTGAGAAAGGTGGAAGGTAGAATGGAACTTTGAGCATTATGAGACTGCTACCTTTATGCCTGGGAGCTGAAATTCAACAGTTCATTTTATATATTAAATGATCCATAGTTGAGGGATTTGACCAATTTTTGTGTCTCCCAACCTTCATTTGGCACAACATACATATGACTAATTTGACATCTAGGTTTTGTCACTGGTGTTGATCTTGCATTATTATTCCCTTTACAAGCAAATCAACAGCATTCAGAAATGTCAAGCCAATTTGGATAGATTTTTTTGCCAAGTAAATATGCATAAAGTGTCATGACTGTTTTCTAAGTGTACCTAAGTGATGTCAGGAAAGTTAAAACCAGGCCCTGTCAGCCCCATTTCCTGGGCCTATTTTGGCAACATTCAGCTGGATACAGTAAGATTCTGAGTTGATTGTCCCTTAAGTATGTAAGAGATTTGTACTTGTTACATGCTTGTTCATCATGAAAATTCACTTTCTAGTGATGATGCTAGGGGAAATCCAGTTTAGTTTGTGGGTCATTGTCCTGCAAAACTATGGATTCTCTGGTCATGTGTACCTTAACCGAAGAGTATGTACTTTGTGATTTGGTGACTGTCCCAGGAATAGCTTAAACAGAGCTAATGAAATATGAGTGGGATTTCTTGTCTCAGTAAGAATGTTTTCACAGACTGATCACTTCTGGAGAGTGTGTTTATACAATGCATTAGACCAATGTAGAAGTTTGCCTCTAGTTTTAGAAAACCATTAACACGACTTTGATTGCTTCCTGATTTCAGAAGAACTTCCAGGCCAAGGATTTGACAGCAAAGGCTACTTTTGTGGAGAAGAAACAATGCCTGTATATGAGTCTGTGTTCATGGAAGATGGGGAAACTACCAGAAAAATAGCACTGGAGACTGAGAGACCACCTCAAGTAGAAGTCCATGTTTGGACCATTCGAAAGGGTGAGCAAAACAATATGAATTTTTTGTCTTTGTAAAGGTGGGAGAGGGAGTCATAGGTAAGGAAGAGTACCTCACCTTAATTTTGCTTCAATCTGTTTCTCTGTTTGGCTCAGAAGTTTTCCTAGTGTCTTGAAATTGACATATATCTACCATTGCTGTAATTATGACCTCTCAGATTTAACTACAGCCTATGCAGAAAATTAGGTATTGATCTGAGGTTTTGTTTCTCACACCACCAAAACCTGGAGGGATGATTCCCAACATTTGCTATGTGCCACAGTCATCTGGGAGAGTTTATGTTTGTATGTTTTAATTTTTTTATTTTAATACTCATGTCTAGGCTATGTGCAGAGGGATTCTGATTTGTTGGTTTTTGATAAAGCCAGTGCATTAGTGCTTTCTCAGACGCTCTGCAGGTAATTCCGTTGTGTAGTCACATTTGCAAATTACTTAGATGTGGTGTGCCATTTGTTGGAATACAGAGCCCAGAAAATAGGTAAACCTATTTATTATGTGCAAGACTAAGTCCCTAAAATTATGTTATTAGTTCTGGGGTAACAAAAATGCAAATCGCCATGCCTTCCCTCAAGAAGATTGTAGTATCACTGGAGAAACAATCCTAGTCATAATGTCTAGTTCCTGATTACCCACAGTTTTACTACCATAGCAAGCCATTCTGTTCATTGTGATACTACTGACATTCAAACTATTCTGTAAACGCGAGACCTGTGCTGACCAAGTCTGGCCATATTTCCTAGAAATCCAAGTATAGATGTGAGATTTCATTGGAAATAATGCTGAATAATGCTTTTTGTTACCATGCCAGAGTACTCAGGCTTAAGCAGGCTTAAGCATCACACAAGAAGGTAGTGCAAAATGCAGTTGTCAGGCCCTGCTTTGGAGATATATAGGCCTCAGACATGGTTTAAACATGTGCAAGTTTAACACATAGACAGGAGATTCTAATGTACATGGCACTTGGAACATATTTTGAGAAATGAGGGGGTTTTCTTCTCTGCTTTCCCACAGCAACATTTTTTTTTCTCTAAAGAATGTGGCCCTTCCAACTCCTTAAAAATACACTAGAACATATATATGTTTCTTGGTTTTATAAGTAGGCATGCCAGGTTACTATATCTAACTTTCTAACTCATTGAAATGGGTCACCTGAGATGTGATACCAGTTTGTTGGCTTCCCTATCATTGGCTCACGTTTCGTGGCCATATATCCCCTACTCACTGATACATGTGGATTATTTGTAACTTGTAACTTGTTGGTATAGCATCTAAATAGCCTTGTTCCCACTACTGGTTATCAAGGTCTGTGTTTGATGGACAGAGAAAATCCCAGGTTTTCTCCAGCTTACCCCATGTAGACCTTTTTATAATTATTTAAGGGCTAATAATCTATTGCTAGTTAACTGTAAGGCAGTCTTTAGCTGACTACCTATTATTCAGATTATAGAATAAGGAGCAGTTGAGACTGTAAAACCACTCTATTTTAACTCCTATAATTTTATAAGGGAAAGGTAAGGGAGCAGAGCTGTGGATATTTCCCAAAGGAAAATATGCTTTTCAGCAAGTTCAGGATTGGGGGTAGCTTTTCCATTTACACAAACAACCTGCTTACAATCCTCCTGCTGCCTCTCACTCTTTTGGCCAGTGAAGGGGGTAGGGTGCAGCCCAGTGGTTTGGCAGGAAGATTGTCTACCCAGATTTATGGCAAGGGAGGAATTTCTAATACTGCCTTTGGCTGCAGAAATACCAACCAGCACTCATGCCTGATTCCTTGTGGCTTTCACTAGGAGGGGGTCCCATCATCTTTAGCACTATCTCTCTTGTCTCCAGCCCTTGAGAAGCCAAGTGGAGGCCAGAGAGCCAGGAAAACAAATGGAGTCAATTATAGCCTTTGAGCCATCCAAGTTCCTGGTTAAGCACATTACACAGCCCAGCTCAATACTCATAAGCCTCAGTAATGGGATAACAGGCTCAATCCAAGCAGGAAAAGGGGTTAGTGGTTGAAGCTTCAGAGTGTCTAACCACCTGTCTTTCTTTTTGTTTGTCCCTAGGCATCCTCCAACACTTTCACATCGAGAAGATCTCCAAGAGGGTGTTTGAGGAGCTCCATCACTTCAAGCTGGTAACCAGGACAACTCTAAGTAAGTGATACCTATCTCTACTCCTTACTTCTCCTTTCTATTAATCCTGTTTTCAGTGTAGCAATGGCCCAGCTAAAGCCTCCCCGTGTTCTCAGTAAATATTAGCTATGTTCAGTGTCAATAACAGAGGATGCTCTAGCTCTTCTCCAGGGAACTTGGCAAGAAAGAGGCTATCTGAATGTGAATGAAGAGCTGGGACATGCTTCATACAAACCTACAGGCAGTCCAAGTATAACCTACTTTCAGTTTCCTGAGTATCTTAAATAAAATTGCTAAGTGTGCAGTCTTGAGAGTGTTAGATAAAACTCACATGATTCCCAGCCTACTATAATGTGTGGAGACTTCACATCAAAAAGGCTGTGTCCTCCGGTGACTGGGATAAGAGAACAAAAAAATGAATGCATATAAATTCTCATGTCATTTCAAAATTTTCTGACTCTTGGAATTGCTTCGTGTGGTCATGTTTCTTTAAAAGCATTCAGGCACTTAAGAATACTTGCAGCTCTCCCATTTTCTACACTAGATGGAGCCTAGGGACTAGCTACATTTCAACACTTGGGGGAGGGGATAGGGCAAACTTCTAATGAAATAAAAGGCACAAAATTTCTATCCACAGGAAATTCTAATGAGCGAGACAGAACATGAACATGCCTCCAGTATGAATTAGTATGTTTTGGAGGAGTTAAATACCTAAATGCCCAGGGGAATCTGCAAAGAACAATGAGATGAGAGCCAGGTGGGCTTAGTTGGGGAAGGCGTCGTGGAGGAGGTGTGTTTTGAAAGAGAAGGGTAAGACTGGGCAGCAGGTTAGAAAACAGTCCAGGAGAGAGTGAAGCCTAAGAGAAGACTGAGGAGCAAACAAGAAATGTGGGTGGGAGTGAGGAATGATGACAAAGGCCACACAGGATGCACTGAAAGATGAAACAACTAACTTGGAAGCTAAGAAATCATGGAGGGAAAGAAGATAGTATGAAGTTTATGTGTAGTTTCTGCAAACTTAGAAAGTGTAGTGATATCTAAATGGTACTTTGCAAAAAAAAAAAAAAGAAAGAAAGAAAAGAAAAAAGAAGTTTTTTGTTTTTTTTTTTTTTGCTATTAGATGGGTTTATTTTTGTTTAGCATCTGTTTTGGCAGTCAGATTATGAACAGGCCAGTTTGCTATGCCAAGAAATCAAACTTGAACACTAGGTCAAAGAATCTCAGTGGAGGTTTCAAGGCAAGTGAATGATGCATTTAGATATGTTTTCTAGAAGAAAACACATTTTAGAGTTTGGAGTGCAAAATGAACTATTAGTAAGAGGATGGGTGATAGTCTGAATTAGGGAGCTATTTTACTATACTATTATACAGGGAAGAAAATGTTACTGCCAAAGATGTTTCTGAGGTTAAGTCAACAGAGTTGATGTCAAAAAGAGAAATGATGTTGGAACGACTCCAATATTAACAACATTAGAGACTGAATGAATAGTAATGTCATTCACTAAGGGGAAAGTCTGAAGGATAAGCAGGTATTGGTAAGAAAAAAAAGTTATATTTGTAACATATTTAGATTAACATGTTTGAGAGCTTTTAGCAGTTACCCAGAAGAGGAGTGGGAAACAGAGTCAAATATTTATCATCAGCAGGACTGATAGATAATAAAATTGGACAGCATGAGAATTAATGGAAGAGTTGGGAGTCCTTACATCTGAGCCAAGAGGAAAGGAGGCAGAGATGAGGACCCCAGAATGAGTGAAGAGATGTGAAATTACAAATTAATATTACAAAGAGTACGTTTTAATTCACACTGTGAACAAAGTGCTCTGTTAGGCTACAGGAATTTGAAAGATGGTACAGATTTACTTTGTTAAGATTCAGAGTATATAATGGAAATAAATGGTGTATGTCCCAAGCTGTGTGTAGGAGAAGGTGTCTGACTCCTTACCAAATGTACCCAGTAGAGTTGGCACGTTATTAGATTTAGCAAAAGTTACTTCCTTGACCAACACTTTTCTCATTTGTCATCTGTCTTCCCATGGAATCAAAGAGAAGAGGGGGAAATGGGGAAGCTAAGAGGGAAAGGACCAGAGAGATGGGGTATATAGGGAAAGAGTACAGGTGGCTGCAAAAAGGTTCAAAGGAGGGTTAGATTTAGGAGGAATTTGGACTAGGAGTTATACAGATTGTTCCACCATGAGAATAAGAATCAAAAGCAGAGTGGCGATAGATTCAGGGTAGGTAGAGACAACAGGGAATGGAAGGGGTTTGGCTGAGTTAACCCAGAATGGGATAGGATCCCATGACACATTAGAGAATAGAATAGCTCACAGAATGGATTTATGGGTGTAAAGATGACATGTGAATACAGGAGAATGCAAAGCTATGCAGTTTTTGTCAAAAGAAAACCAGTATGTGGGATCCCAGAAGATAAGCAGAGTGCCAATGATGCAGTAAGTACCACATTTGCAAAGTGACTTTTTGGACTTAGAACCAAGTGATCCATCTCGATAACTAATAGATAGTCAAGCACTTTGCAAATGTTAAAAACAATGCTGTGAAAATTCCATCAATACTTGGCTTTTATTAATGACAATCCAATTTTTAGCCTCTAGATTCTTATGAATTTTATGTGTTAATAATTCTGTGATTCATTTTTCATATCTGCCTCCAACAAAAGTATTTTAGGGAGCCGTTTTGTAAAATCCCCTGACATTTGTATTCTAAAATACTTTCTGGATATGAGTGAAGGGGGCACGGAATGACACATGTTGGTTCTATTATGAATTTATTCAGTTCTTCTTTAATACTCATTCAGTCACTTTGTGTTTGCTTTTTAGATCAGTGGAAGATATTCACTGAAGGAGAAGCTCAAATCAGCCAGATGTGTTCAAGTCGTGTGTGCAGAACAGAACTTGAAGATTTGGTCAAGGTTTTGTACCTGGAGAGATCTGAAAAGGGCCACTGTTAGGCAAGACAGAGAGTACTGGAAAGGGTAAAGCAAGAAAACTTAAGCTGCAGCTGGACTGCAGGTTTATTTTGCTTAAGTCAACAGTGCCCTAAAGCCCCAAACTCAAATGCAGTCAATTATTCACGCCATGTACAGCATAACTTGCTCCTTTATGTGGAGTGGTGTGTCAGCCCTTAAACATCTCCTCCAAGGAGACTGGACAAGTCTTGAATGATTTGTGGGAGGAGGAGGAGCAGGGACAGAACACCACAACACAGCTCTAGTTTCTTGGAAGAATCACATTTTTTTACAGGTTAAAGAGCAAGCTAAACCCCAGAGTTTCTATCTAAAAAGCCATTCAAATGAAAGAAAGAGAAAGAAACTGCTTAGGAGAAGTTCTCAAGTTCAGAGCAATGATCTGAATCAAATTATAGTCTGAATTTCAGAATGTCTTGTGTTCTTAAAAAAAAAAAAAAACTAACTCCCCATCCAAACTTGTACACACACACATACACGTGAATACATAAACACACGTATGCATATGTGCACACACATTAAACTATAGCCTCCAGTCAGAACTAAAACCAGTCTAGGCTGTAGCTTTATGCTTCTTTCCCTTATCTCCCGAATATCTTGGAAGTTGTTGATGACCAGCAGAATTAATTTAGAATGTGATCAGAAGGCTATGCTCGTAGGTCTTTGCTGTGGCTGTTGAAGTCACTCACTAGTGGAGACTAAGAATGCAATTTCCTGGAACCACCTACTTCAAAGTGGTAACTGTATTTTCCATAATGAGACCATTTCTCTTTTCTCCTTAAACCTACGCGGCCTCTGTAAGTCAGTGAGAAATGGATAAAATTTTCTGAAACCTAATTTATAAGAGAAAGTAAGCATTGAAGAACGAATTAATAAAAGTCAAAAGGCCACCTTTTCCTGTCAATACAACTTACCAATTAATAGATCCGTACTCACTAATTTCCTTAAGGCCATGTTGTCTAACAGAACATTTGAAGTGCAGAAGCTCCTTAAAAGGACATCTTTCCTTCTTCTCTACTTACAGGAGTTTATTTTTACTTTGTAAGAGGGATTAGTCTTTCTGAGGTTCTGAAAGTTGGATCTGTGATTAAGAGAGTTATTGCTCACTTAAACAGCTGGGGATGCTGATTAAGAATTAAATATTTATCTGGAACTATTTTACCACCCTTGCCTTATCCACAAAGCTTAAATTTGAACCAGAGATTCCACGAAGAATGCATCTGGAAGGTGTCTGTAGTCCAATACTGGAGCATAAACGATCCATTGTGAGGTGTGGCTTTAGAATCATAGAAATCTGTAAATTCTTCACCAGAAGGGTCTCAAGGCTGCCTTCTGCATTTGGACGTTCTGAGGAAGATAAACAAGTTCTAGAGAGTACTTAGAAACATTGAGGAGCTGGAAGGCCCTAGTTTCCTGTTGTGTGACCCTGACTGAGAGAACATTGTTTGTCCTTAGATCGCTTGACATAGAGCTGGGGAAAATGTAAAGAGGTCTGGTCTTTACAGCCATCTGGCATAAAGGAATCAGTTTTCACAAAGGAGATACAAGGTCTGTGGCCAGGACTACTTGGAACAAGGCTCTCACCATTCCATTGCACACATTTCTCCTCAGGAGAGGGAGGTGTCAGGCCTTGGACTAAAGGATCTCAGAGCATGAGTGTGCATGTGTGCAATGGGCTAGGGTTGTTAGTCACCTGCTTCCTCCCTTTGCCACTCCCAGAGCTGGCAAGATTTCCCTAGTATGCAGACCAGTGGTCAGATCCTGGTGCAAAGAGGTGACTCGACTCCCTTTCTACATGAGTCACTTATGCAGGTGTTCTCAGAAAGCTCAGTCTTAAGGGAACACCCAGAGAGCTTCCCTAGACAGACTCCTGCCTTCAGGTGCTGAAACACACCTTCCCACAGTGCTGTGAGGAGCAGGAGCTGAGGAACTGTTAGTCAATGTAGAAACCCTCCAGTGTTTGGTGTTGTGTAGAGAGTAGGATATAGGGAGAAGGAGGCCAAATCTCCTTCTGTAGTTAGTGGAGAAGAATGGATGTGGTTCTTCTTGTGTATTTATTTGTATCATAAACACTCGGAACAACAAAGTCCATAAACACCATTTAGCAGCCATAGCCATTTTCTAGTTAGCTCATGTAAACAAGCAAGGGTAACATAGCAGCATTACCCTTTCACCCTTTTCACAGGACATGTACCTAGATATGGTACATATTTATGTAGTCACTGTATTTCTGGATTTTTAAGTTAATAAAAAGTCAATTTTGAAAAACCATTTGCAAGCATGTCATGTAAATGATTTGCCTCTGGTCAATTACTGCATAATAAATGAAGGGTGGACCCGGTCATTTTGTACTCAGCTTGATAGCTTTCTATAGCATAGTGGTAAGAAATAAGAACTTTGCAGTCAGACTACCTAAATCTTTCAGCTCAGCTCTGGACTTTACAGCTCTACTTATGAGTCTCTTCAACTAAAAGTGAAGGAAAAGGAATACTACTGCTTTCTGCCTATGGTCCTGCATTGAGGCTTCATTTAGGCAATGCACAAAAACTTATTTAAAGTGGCGCATTGAGGGTGCTCATTCTTGACCATAGATGTTCAAGGATGACATGGCAAAGCTGGTATTGTGCCACAGTGGATTATGCTGCCACTTGGACTGCTGGGATCCCATGTCAGAATGCCAGTTTGTGTTCCAGCTACTTCAATTCTGATCCCATTCCCTGTGGATGTACCTGGGAAGGCAGTGAATGATGACCCAAATACTTGGGTTCCTCCACCTTTATGGGAAGCCATGATGGAGTTTCTGGCTCCTGGGCTTGGCCAAGCCCAGCTCTGGCTATTGTGGCCATTTGGGAAGTGAGCCCAGGGAAGAAAAGATACCTCTATCTTTGTATTGGTCATTTCCACCCACTGTCACTCTACCATTCAAATAAATAAACAAATAAATCTTTTTAAAAGAATGTCATGGAATTTTAATTTTATCATTGATCCATAGATTCTGGCCTCCCTTTAAGCCTAGCCACTTGGGTTGGGAGCATAGATATTGACTCAGATTTCAAAGGGAGCTGAATTTTCATCCGCTACTCACAATTTTTTTTTAAAATACAAAAGTTTGTACAGGTGAGAGTTTTGTCACATGTGTTAAAATTAAATTTCCTCAACACCCCGATATCAGTTAAATTGTGTTGTCAGCAAAGTCAAACTATGAGAGTACTTCAAGAGAATAGTAAAATGTGACAAACTCAGCTGAAATGTCAAATAGCATATAGACAGAAGTTTATGCATTGGTGTTATAAACACAGGAAGAAAAATAACTAGTGCTCCATTGATTGCAGCAGAGACCAGCTTGGAATAGACTATAAGAATTGAATTGCAGAGCCCAGCATGATAACTCAGTGGCTAAATGCTAGTTTTACACATGCCAGAATCCCATATTGGCACTGCTTCATGTCCCGGCTGTTCCATTTCCCATGCAGCTCCCTGCTTGTGGCCTAGGAAAAAATTGGGAATGGCTCAAAGCTTTGGGAACCTGCACTTATGAAGGAGATGCAGATGAAGTCCCTGACTCCTGGCTTTGGATCAGCTCAGCTCTCGCCATTGTGGGCCACTTGGGGAGTGAAGCCAGCAAAGAGAAGATCTTTCTATCTCTTTCTTTCTGTAAACCTGCCTCTCAAATAAAAATTAAAAAATACTGTTTTTTTATAAAGAAGAACTGAATGGCAGATAAGGTGTTTGGGGAAGCAATTTAATCACTGCTTGGGATGCCAACACTCTTAACAGAGTGCCTGGTTTGAATTTCAGCTGCTTTGCTTCTGGTCCAGCTTCCTATTAATGTGAACCCTAGGGCCAGCAGGTCATGTTTCAAGTACATGGGTTCCTGCTACCCGTGGGGAGACCTCATTTGAATTTTAGTCTTCTAAATTTGGCCTGGTACAGCCCTGGTAGTTTCAGGCATTTAAGGAGTGATCCAACAGAAGATGTCTCTGTCTTGCCCACTTTCACATGACCTCCCTTTCAAAAAACATTAAAAATAAAGGAATGGGGAAATGAGGACAAGGAGACAGCAGCCCAATGTACCTTATGTGGAGAAGCTCTAGCTCAGTGTATAGAGATATAGTGAAAGAAGTAGTTGAAGGAGGATATGTAGTCCAAGGAAAGTTTTTTCTTAAATAGAAAGCTAGCTATCCATGTGTGAATCCTGGATATAGATCCTATAGAAAGAAACAGATTGAAGATAATGGAGAAAGGGAAATTAGCCTGTTGTGTAAGGTATATGAGAAATTATGCCCTCATTTTGAGCTCCTGGAACTCATAGTTCTTGACCTACAATCGTGGTGGAATTTTGGCCTTTGCTGGCCAACCCTTTCCATTGAGCTGTGCCTAGTTTCTTTCATCTCTGACAGTTTGCTTCCTCTAGGCACTTGGCATAATTTCTTCTGGAATGGTGAGCCTTGAATCCCAGTATTACTGTACCTCTAATGGTAAAACTTCAAAGCAAACCACACAACTTGACCCCATGTTGCTCTCTTCCTTCTCTCTGACTTATCACATCCAAATTTCACCTAGTTCTGTCCGTTTTATCTCCCAAATGTACACAGTGCTTATAGGCATGTTTTCTCATCTATGCTAACAAGCTCTTCACTCACTTTATTCCCACCATGATTCCCAGGAAGCAGCAAAGTTTATCCTATAAGGGCTCAAAAAGTGCTGTCTGATATCACATGGTACCCATCACTTTATTCCTTTTTTGTTTTGAGTCTCAAAGGGAATCAGAATATATCACTTTTGCATAAGGATTATTTTCAGCTGAAGGCCACTGAAAACCATGTTCAGATTCTCAGTGGAGAATGCAAAGGGACTCCTCTGCCCTCCCTTTATTTAATAAAAAAGCAGAACATGATATTTTCTTTGTGAATATGTCCTTGTACTTGTACCAGAAAGAGATGAGAGACTCTTACTATTGGACATAGGAGTCAACATCAAGATGAGTTTGCATCAGCAGACATTATTAAAAAGCTTTGATCTTTATTGACTCCCCC